ATAGGGACCTGCTGTTTCCCAGCTTGGACAAGTGATTAAGCTACAGGTCTTAGTGTCCTCATCTGTAAAGTGGGACATCAACCTTGCAATGGGTGTAAAGCACTTGAACACAGTGCTTGGCAACGGGACTTAAAAAAAATCCTAAAGTATTTACTGAGCACTTACAGGAGTGACCTGACAGTCCCAGGTGGGGGCAGGCTCCAAACTGGCACTTAAAACACAGTCGGGTGGATGCGAACTCAACGCCAGTTCTATTTTCGTTCAAGAGGGGAACGGAAACCAAGGAAGCACAAAATCCCGTCAAGAAGAGCCACCTGTCCTGGCCGGTTTGGCTCGGTGGATAGAGCGTCGGCTTGCGGACTGAAGGGTCCCAGGTTCGATTCCGGCCAAGGGCACATGCCCGGGTTGCGGGCTCGGTCCCCAGTGCGGAGGCGTGCAGGAGGCAGCCGATCAATGGTTCTCTCTCATCATTGATGTTTCTCTCTCTCCCTTCCTCTCTGAAATCAATAAAAATATTTTTTTAAAAAAGAGCCACCTACTCCAATGCCTCCTTCTCTCGCAGTCTAGTTCCTCTCGCTGGAGTGGCCTCCGCCTTTCTGATCCACCAGCAATCCCATTTTCCAGGCAGTAAAACCGAGGCGCGGTTCTCGCCCCTCCAGGCACCGGGTCATAGGAACCCGAGTCTCTGCCTCCGAGGCCCGATTCATCGGCCGCCTCCCCAGGAAACCGGCAGCGGGACTCCCACGCCCGCCCTCACACTCCCAGGGCGCGGACTCCCAGCTCCCCCTGGGGGCAGGGACTGTCCCGCGCGCCCGCAAGCATGCCCAGCCGCACCCTCGCCCTTCCCGGCTGCGGAAGAAAAGGCGGGCACTGGGCCTCCCGCCCTGAGGCCTCAGAATCCGCCCAGACCAGGAGGGGGTCACCGAGAGCTGTGTGGGCGGGGAACCCCCGCCGCCGCCGGGAGCCGCCCGACACGCCTTCGCCCCTGGCCGGGACTGCACTTTACAGACGCTCCCTGGGCGGTTTCTAGGCTCCCCCAAGCCCCTCCTCCGGCCTCTTCCCGTTCCTCGGACCCTGGCCCCAAGCGGAGGCGGCAGCGCGGAGAAGGGGTCGCCAGGCTTCCCCGGGTGTTGAACTTGAAGCGGGCGCTGTGCCCCTAATTTCCCGGGGATTCGGCGGGGCCAGCTCTGCGCTCAGGATGGGGCGCTTGTTGATGAGAATTTCCTCTTTCTTAAAAGGGCAACGATGCCAGTGGGGCCCTCCAGGAGGCACGGAATGGGACGGGTCGGGCTCGGCCAGAGCGACCGTGGAAGAGGTGACCTGAGCGAGAAAGCCGCCAAGTCCCTTCCCGGGCCTGGCTCTGGAGAACCGGGGGCCGCCCGAGCTAGAGGGGGGGGGGCGGGGAAAGGCCTCTCCCAGCCCTTCCCTAGCTCCCCGGGGCGCCGCCGTCTGTGCCCCCGCAGACGCCCCGGTCAGTTCCCTGAGCGCTAGAGGGGCTCCGGCCCGGCGCTGGGCGCGGAGGGAGGCGGGTTCCGAATGACCAGGGATCCCGCCAGGAGCGCCCGCGGGCGGGTGTGCGGGTGGAGGCGGCCGAGTTAGTAACAAATCGCTACTCAGTGGGTGGGAACGATCCACGTGCGAGCGGAGCTGGAAAGAGGGGGGGTCAGGACCCGAGAAGGCCTTGGACAGACTTGGAAGCTGAACAACCACCGGGCGACGGGCATGGGGGGCGGGGGCGAAAGCGCTGACAAGCGGAGGACTCTTCGCTCCCGTGGCGCAGGGAGGGGCCGCAGTGGATGGGCAGTGAGGCCCGGGCCTCGGGACCCGGGGACGAGGAATGCGGGGGGGAGGGGACCAAAGGCCAGCGAGGGGGTCACCGCGGGCGCGAGGTGAGCGATGAGGTCCCGCCAGGGCGTCATTCCAGGTCCAGGGCGGCCCCTGCGGTCCTCCCAGCTCCGGAGTTAAACCGGACTTTCCCCCGGAGCTGCCTGGGACCCGCCTTTCCTGCACGGCTCCCCATTTGGAGATGGGGTTCGCTGCGTGCTGGATGGAGAAGTCACAGCCTCCAGAACTTGGTTCCTCCTGGTTTGAAAAATAAAAATAAACTATGTGCTAAGGCGAGCGACCCCAGCGCTGGGGGAGAGAGAGACACTGGGTGTGCCCCCCCCACACACACACAGTGAAGAAACTCCAAGACACCCCTCCAGACCACCCCCCC